GATAAATGGATCTATTACTAGGTTGGAGTTGTTTTATAACTTTTCATACACTTTATCGATTTTTTTTGGATCTAGTCAAGTGTTGCTATTTACACATTATTATGATATCGTGTTTGTACCGGTGGCATCGTTGAGTTTAGCAAATAAGGTGAAGGAGATATTTGGAGTAATCTGGTTTAGAAGAAACCTCTTTTGAGGACGTTTTACATTTGATTTATTAAAACGTGAGCAACAATTTGTAATACCATTCGATCACAGTATATTGTCGACACGGTATTTGTGTATGTATTAATACAATTCCGTAATGTATTATGTATGGTCGTCTGACACCAGATGATCCAGCGTACGTGATTGACAAATATTTATTTGCTAAGAGTTAATTTTTTGGTGGGCAACTTACCCGAGTTGAAATATATTGTTAAAATAGTTTATTGAAATGTTTAAAGTGGATAAGAGAATTTTGGAACAAAGGGAGAAATCATAAATACTTTTAGATCCACTTTGTTCGAGACTTAATTATTTGAATCTTATGAGAGTGTACGAAACGCAAGTACAGCTTAAAACTGTGGTGCATGATTAGAATACAACTTTGTGTATTTTCAAATTTGGAGTTTCACCTAAATACATTTCATGAAGTTTTTGTCTTGAAATGTGTCACTTGAGTTCAAAGGTTTTTTTTCATAATAAATTTGTTTGTAATAGTTATATATCCAATTTGGTTAATTGTTTGTTTTGTGTTAGATAAAAATGGCTACATTTTTTGGATTGGGAGACAGTGTTTTGAGAAGAGTGCTGGTAGAGGGACAAGGTGTCTCTACTAGTCGAATTTATGGCAAGCTCGTCGTGGACTTGTGCATCGGCGGGCAAACGATTTCGCAATTGAGAAAAAGAGTCGAACGCTCACGAAGTGACGAATCGGAATGGTTTGTGCCTAGAAATACGCCTCTGGTCGTTTTGATAGGAACCAACGATATTTTAAGAAGTGGCAGAGCTTCTGTTGTCTTTAATAATCTTAAACGGTTATTAATTACATTGGAAAAGTGGTCGAGGATAACTCCCATCACCTTGTGTACTCTTCCTCCAATAAAGCATGCAAGTCCCGATGTTCGACATCAGTTGCATAAATACAACACGTCGATTAGAACGTTGTGTTCTAATCGATGTGATGTATTTAGGCTATTGGACTTGTATGCCTTATTGGACGCGGAGAATTATGAGGGCCACTTTTTCGAACGGTAAGTTTCATTATAGTACATATATTGTTATATTTTAATTTGTTATTTTTAGTGACGGTATTCATCCAAATAGAGAGGGGCTTTTGAGAATTTATGATTCCATAAGTTCCCTCTTTAACTAATGGGTCTCGCATGTTCGGTAAGTGAATTACTTTAATTGAAAAAATATAATAATTGTTTTATTAATTGTAGAGTACATGATAACCGTTTAGGATTATTTTTGGCGATGGAAGACTACCCTTTTTGAAAATCGTTTGGTAAACAAAGTAAAAAAACGAAAAGTCGTAGGAAGGCGTGCGAGGTATCGTCGGAAAGGTCTCGGCGGCGCGGTTAGGATGGGCCGTGTTAAGTTTGGGCGCCGGCGGCGCCGACGCCGGCGCGCGTCGTCGGGCGTCGCCGAAATGAGAATCTCGGTAACGAAAAGTCGTAGGAAGGCGTGCGAGGTATCGTCGGAAAGGTCTCGGCGGCGCGGTTAGGATGGGTCGTGTTAAGTTTCGGCGCCGACGACGCCGACGCCGGCGCGCGTCGTCGGGCGTCGCCGAAATGAGAATCTCGGTAACGAAAAGTCGCAGGAAGGCGTACGAGGTATCGTCGGAAAGCTCTCGGCGGCGCGGTTAGGATGGGCCGCGTTAACTTTCCAACTAACTGCAATCTAACCTAACTGCGCGCGTCGACCTAACCTAACCGAGCATTTCGACCTAACCTAACGTGTCTATCTAACCTAACCTAACTGCGCGCGTCGACCTAACCTAACTTAACCGCGATCTAACCTAACTGAGCATTTCGATCTAACCTAACACGTCGATCTAACCTAACCTAACCGCGCACGTCGACCTAACCTAACCTAACCTAACCTAACTACACATCGCGACCTTAGCTAACGCGTCTATCTAACCTAACCCAATTGCAATCTGACCTAATTGTGGGGGAAGGGGGGGGGAGGGGGAGGGGGAGGGGGTTGATTATTTGCGTAAAACCACCTTCGATTTCCCGATAAATAAGAAATATACGCGATTTTTTACAAATATCGACGTTCGAGTGCCCAAAAAAGTCACTCGGGGACCGCGTATTCTCGCCAAACTTTACCGCTCACCTAATCTCGTAGTGTAGAGTCGATTTTGGCAAAAAAAAAAAAAATTTAATTTTTCGTCAAAATTTTTTCGAAAATCGCCGTTTTCATATCGATTACGATTTAACGCACTTGCGATCCTATCGTGGGGACTCCGGGGCAAAATTATAGAAGGTCGCATCCAAAGTGATCGTTTAGTATCGAAAAGTCCCCGGAATTCCACCGGCAAGTGCCCGTTTTGCGCCCATTTTCGTGAGCAATTTCATTTTTTTTTCCACGACCTCTCCCGGAGACGCCTTCGATTTTTTGAGGGAGGTGAAGGTGTCGTAGAATAGCCTCGTCCTTCCTCTTTCGATCGCCGCCTTAACCTCTCGAATACCTCGAATATTGACGAAATTACGAATTTTTTTGTAAAGGGGCGCAAAATTCGAAAAACAAAAAGCGCCCTCTAGCGTCGAAACCGTAAATCTTTTATTAGAATTTTTTCTCGTTTTTGCAATCTCCGCGTCAAAACGCATAAGATGACGTCGAAAAAACGACGATTTTTGACAATTTTTTTTTTCGATTTTTTCGAAGGAAGGGGATAGTATGGAAATTTTTTCGTTTTTTAATTTTTGGGATAACTTTCGAAGTAGGACTCGTATTTCGACGAAACCTTTTGTAACGTGTCCTTTGAGGTAAAATGCAACGTCCGACGTGTCGATCGATCGAATCGGGGACGTTTTTGAATTTTCGAGTTGCCCCCTCGGGAATATCGATTACGCGATAAAGTTTTGGAAAATTTCGATTCGAAAGGTCGTCTCCGTACGTGGGCACTCCGGAACTCGATATTTTACGTCGGTCGGGGCCGTCGACGCGTCTCCGAGTTTCGTTTGGCACATCGAGACACGAAAAAAACACGTCTTTGCGGCGGCTGCGCCGCCTCGCCTCGCTTCTTTGTTCGATTCCGGAACGCACACCGATCGATACGGAAGAGACGCGGACGTAGAAAACCGCATCGTTTTGGTCCTCGGAGTTTCCGAATAACCTTTAAAATACGAAATTTACCGAAGAGAAGAGGGAGGGGGGGAAGTGTCGGACGTAAAGTCGGAGAATATCGATACGAGATCGACTTAAAAAACCGCATCGTTCTAACCCTCGCGGTTTTCGAACAGAGTACGTTTAAATGTTTTTTGGGGGAGAGGGGGGGGATGGGAGGTTAACGGAGTGGTGCCGGGGTACGTAACGGACTTCGAAGAGACTACTCCGATCGAAGACTTGCCAAAAACTTACCTCCTCCGAACGAAAATTGACACTTCGCTCGGCTTCGGCGGCTGGGCCGCCTCGCCTCGCGGCATCAGGGAATCTTTCTTTTTTTTAGTTCATTTATTGTACAATTGCCAGTAAAAAGTTTTCAATATTCTTCCACCCATCTGCAACTTTGTTTCGGTTTTTGTGGTCCGGATTTCTGGGAGTCCATAACACCGTTTCCTGTTTGTACAGTTGCAAAAATTCTAACGTTGCCTCATTTGTCCATTCCATTTCGCCTTTGAATATAACTATTAAATTTAAAGACTTAAATTAATATTCGTACCATCAAACAGCAAGAACTCATTCAAATCGAGGTAATAATCCGTATAAAACTTACCTCCGGCACTGGTATCACTCCACCGAGTAAAAATAAGTTGTTAAAAAGTACGGGTAGTATAATGGACCGGACCGTTTTACCGACAATCTCCGGAAAGCTTTGACGAATAAAAAACGTTCGCCGTAGCAATACGAACTGGTCTCCCACACGCTACGCGAACTACCGCGTATGACGAACGTTCGCCGAATGTACGAAGCGTCTGGGACCGCCTTTTGGAATCTGGAGGTTCGGGAGCTTGAAAGTCGTTAATAATAAATACGCCATTAAATGTCCGTGCGCGTGAGATAGCTGCGTATCCTTTTTGGGCTTTTTGTCTCGTTAATTTGTTACCTTTCGAATCGATGACTGTCACGTCATTATAGGGAAAGTTCTGGACAAAATTTTAACTTCAAGAATTGACTTTCATTTAACAAAATTAAACAGTATTGTTGGTGGGGTTGGGTTGGTGGTTGATGATTATTATTAGGCTAGCGGTTAGAGTTTTATTATATACACGTAACACTACTTAACACTAATGAAATATTTACACCTTACAACACCAAAGAAGTTTACAAGTTCGGAAAACACAAAGAAACACACGATACCGCGATCACGTCTGAGGAGGCAGTCTCTCCCTTGCTACCAATCGTTACCGCGGCAATCTTACGGAAAGATGTACAACGTCGACGGCTTATGAAGGCAGAGACCCGGGTGTTAGTTAAGGAGTAATTCCAACTGTGTAACCCGTTGCTCTTCTTGCCGATGAGAAGTTTCTCGATGACGGTTATACTGGGGTGGCTAGTGTTGTGAGGGTCGGCGTTCCTTACAGTGCTCCCTGTCGGCCGCTTCTTGTAACGCGTGCGGGGGCGTCTGTAGATGGGGTAGGAACAGGTGCGCGTGCACCTGTTACTTTAGCGGGGTTGCTACGTTTGGCGTGGGGTGGCGCACTTGGCGTACCACGTGTTTGTGTGTGGGTGCGAAACAGTATAAATAATAATCAATACGGATTTTGCCAGGGGAAAAGTACAATAAATGCAATTAAGAAAGTTGTTGAAAGTATTAAAGAAATAATAGCAAGACAGGAATATTGTAGTCATATCTCTAGACATTAAAGGTGCCTTTGATAACGCCTAGCCACCGGCAATTTTACACGAGATGTGAAGATTAAGATTACCAGGAGATTTAATAAAAATATCAGAAAATTTCTTCGAAAACAGAATTGCTAAATTTGACATTACTAGCAAAATTTTAGAAAAATCAGTTGAAAAAAGATGTCCCCAAGAAAGTTGTTGTGGTCCTGTGGTTTGGAAAATATTATATAATACTATATTTAGAGTCAAACTTCCGGAAAATTCAAAATTAATAGCGTATGCAGAGGACACGATTTTAATAATTGGAGCTAAACAATACAAAATTTTAAAAGAAAAAGCTAATAAATGTGTGATGGCTTTAGAAAAATGGACGAAAGAGTATAAATTGGAATTTAATGTAGAAAAATCGGAAGCAATATTTTTCGGTAAAAACAAAAATCAATTAAGACAGAGTTACAAATTAGATAATAAATTTATTAGATGTAAAGAACACATGAAATATTTAGGAGTTATTTTGGACAATAGATTGAATTGGAAAGAACACATAAAATATTTATCAAAAAAAAGTAAAAATATTTGTGGACAAATAGGTTCGGTAGTAAAAATAAATTGGGGATTAAAAAAGAAAATTTTAAAAATGATTTATAATGATGCAATATTACCAGCAATCACATATGGTTCTGAAATATGGTATGAAGGGTTGGGTGTTCGAGAGAAGAGAATGCTAATGAGCGCACAAAGAATGATTGTTTTAAAAATAACACGAACATATAGAACAACATCTAATGAGGCTGCTTTGATAATAGCTAATGTTAAACCAATTGATTTGGAAATTTTGGAATACGCAACGTAAAAATATTAAAATCAAATAATTTTAATATGATTGAAACGGAATTTGCAAATAAAATAATAGAAAAAAACAATACTTATAATGCTTTAGGACATCCAATAATTCAGAATTTAACTTATAAAATTTATGGAACGAAAGAAGACGACAATACGATAAAAATTTATACGGACGGATCAAAATTAGAAGGAGGAATTGGAGCAGCTTTTGTAATATTTAATAACAATTTGGAAATTTATCAAGAAAAATTTAAATTGGGATGTACTGTATTTCAAAGCGAAAATTTAGCAATACAAAAAGCATTAAAATTTATAGAAGAAAACTATTATAATCAGACCATTTCAATATATTCGGACTCATTATCTGCACTAAATTATACATCATCTAAAAGATATAATCTAAAACTAAATATTCGGGAAAGTTTGAAAAAATTAAAAGAAAACAATATAATTTATTATAAAATTCTATTGGACAAAAAGCCATACTGGAAATCATGGAAACGAAAGAGCTGATCAATTGGCAAAAGAGGCCGCTAAAAGTAATTTAGAAAGTGTATTTAATGAAATTCCTTTATCATATATTAAAAATAAATTAAATCAAAATTCGTTAAATTTGTGGAATAGAAGATGGATTTCGGCCGAAAAAGGAAGATTAACATATAAATTTATTTCATTAATTCAAAATAGAAAGAAAATTGTTCCTGAAGATCTAAATTATTCGTTAGTGCAACTAGTGACTGGTCATGGAAATTTTGGAAAGTATCTTAGAAGATTTGGAAACAGAGATAATGATTTGTGTACTTGTGGGGGAGTGGACGACGTGGAACACATTTTATTTGAGTGTTCACTTGAGGATGAAAACAGGGGACTGAATGATATGAAATTGGCAAGATTGGGTCTTAAGTGGCCGACAAACTTTAATGACATTTCAAAATTGGAGGGCGAAAAGGTTTGGTGGTCCTGTCTGAGTGAATTTGCTATGAGAAGTGTTAAATCTAAAATTGACGTTTGATAACTATTTTTCGTCATCCCATACTGTTATTTCAATTTAACTCAACTCATTTGACAAATGAAATATCATTCATAACGGACGGCGTCCGTTAAAAAATAACGGACGCATATGCGGCCGTTAAGAAATAATGCTTTTATTGAAATACAAACAACTACTTATTATAATGAATATGAAAGTGACAGTTATTATTGCTAGAAATCTGTAGTCCATCGTAGGAAACTTGAGGACCACTATCACCTGTTGATGTTACACTTGATGAAGAAGCTGTGGCTATGGATGTTGTAATTTCAGAGTTTCTATTGGACCTTTGAAATAGTTGTTTGGTGATTTTTAATCGCTTCGAAACAGAATTTTCAATATACGACTCCGCTACCGCAGATGAATCCCAGCCTCCAAGTTCCTTCACTGCTAGGAGATCGCCGCCATTTTCTGCAAGCATGGGAGCGGATGACCTCCGAAACGAATGGCCCGTGTATAACTCTGGGTTTTTTAATTTTAAGAACTTAGCAATTTTCCTGGGAACACCCCCAATGGTATGAATGCCCACAACCTGCCTAACACACTTTTCTTTGCGGTAGACAATGAAAAATCGCCGAGTTTCTAAATTTTGAGGACGTTTTTCCGCGTATTTTTGGTATAACTGATACGCATTGAAGGAAAGTCCTTCTTTCGGAATTAAAAACACTCTGCTTTTCTTATTTTTTGTGATCCGCAATGTAACTATTACGTTTTTGTTGGTGTCTTCAAAGTCCTCCACGTTCAACTTAAAAAGCTCATCACCCCTACAAGCGCCAAATATTCCACATATTAAGATGACTTTTTCTAGGAGCCATACACCATCATCAGCTTCCAATAAAAATGTCATGACTTGCTCTTCAGACAAAATGTTAGACTTTTTTGGTCTGTAACCTTCAGACTTTCGTTTCAAAAAGGCGAATAATTTTCCGAATCTGTAATGTAATAAACATCCCCAATACACAATAAATACACTACATGAATAAATTACCAACCTTGAAATGTCAATGTTGTCATATACCTTCAAAGTGAGTTTCAACATTGAAACTTTTGTCCATAATGAATTGGGCGAGTACATTTCCGATTTTCCCTTTACGTACGCTAATAACACGTCTTCATTTACTAAATTGATCCTCTTAATCTTAAGCCATTCCTTGAAATCTTCGTATTCTTTTTGATATCGCTCCCTGGTCTTTTCTGGTAGCAAATCGACACTTGCAGCCATGGAGTCTGCTAATACGTCTGGAGGAATATTGATATTTCCTTCAATTACGTCCATATTTTTGGAAAACCGTCGTAGAGCTTCTCAGCACGCGTTTTTAACGAATTGTTTATTTTTCAGTAGTTGCGTCCATGACAACCGCTAACATGTGACCATAAACATACCATGATCAAGATAATTATTATATTTAAGTATTGCGAAAAGATGGATCTTTATGAAGTCGAAATATATAATTTCCACATAATGGGATGACGAAAAATCTTGAACGACACACGGCCGATACGCAAATAACGGACTTGGTTGAATATAAACCTCGGCTGACGCCTCGGTTTACAAACTTCAACCACGTCCGTTATTTGCTACATATCGGCCTTATGACGTTAATAACTATAAAGTGATCTGAATTAAATTGTGATAGTGCTATGTTTTAGAAAGAACTTTTAAAATTTAGAAATATTTTATTCAAATTTAAAAATATTGTTATTACATATTTTTGTTTTGCTAACTTGAAGAAAAAAAAGAAAACTTTTACTTAAACTTCACTAAATCAAGATCAATATTACGTTAAATCAAATTTATATCAAAATCAAGTTTGATCCCGGCTAAATTCATATTATGTAATGTCGGTAAAAATAAATCAAATTGTTGTTGTTGTTGTCACGTCTTGAGTTAAGCCCTTACTCTTATGTATAGTGCGTGATTCAGCAACGACTAGAGGATATTGAAATCTATCTGCACAGATCCCTTGTCGAGAACATTAAATTGTTTATTGATTCGATTGATTGGCGTCCATGTTGCGGGAATGTTGTTAGCTTCCATAAAACTTCTCTTCTGTTTCCGAAGTTCTGCTCCGATTGTTGGACAATCGAACTCAATCCAAACCGCTCCCGATCTTGCTTGACCCCGCTGACCGGGAACTATCTCAAAATCGATGCGTTTAAGAACGCCAAGGGCACCGTTATAGAGTCCATCCTGATGTACATCAATATCAACGGTCACCATGTATCTAACGTTTTGTACAAGATCGAGTTCCGGAGCTAGGCCTTGGGCTTCGTGGGCTTTTAAATTTTCGACTGCTTTTTTGGCCTGATTTCTTTTAGTTAGCGTGGGATTTCCAAGAATGCGATCCTCAGCTCTGCTCACTATTCGTATTCTGCACCGGATCTTTTTTGTTCTACAATTCTTTTATTATAGACTGTGATGTGAGTGTGATACTCATAGTCTCGTAGCATCAAGAGCTTGTTGTGGAAGATCGATTTCTCTGTAAACGCAAGAGTTCCACATTGCTATGTCCTGCTGTGTACATTCGCCAACTGCAAGTCGATTTAATGCTTCTGCAAATATTTGATAGTCTTTTTGTCGCATAATTTTGTTAATCCGAAAGATTTTAAATAACTTCCACTGTGGGGTTTGTGCCATAGCAGCCGTCGACACTGAATCCTTCACTTGAAATGCACGACGACCTCCAACCGGTCCAAGCTGGTTAAAATCACCCACTACCAACACTGAAACTCCCTCGAACTCTCTTGAATTGCCAAAAACTTCCATCAATCGACTTGATATTTGAACAGTCTTGATGACAGCATTGAAATTTCGCCAATTATCAGTAATTTAAGATTGAGCAAAGTTTTATTCATCGTCTTTCTTTTCAAAACTAGTACTAGGAGGACAATTGCCAAAATATCTTACATTGTCTTAAGGTATTTCAGCACTACCACCCGACTTGGTGCCCTCACAATTCTCCTACTTCTTCTACTGGTACGGGATTCTCCGGTTGACTTTCAGGTAACGTACTAGTTCCGGGTTTTGGGAAAAAATGAAATATTCAAAAATGTTCAAGAGGCTCTAGTGGACATTGGATGTTGTCTTCTACTGCTTGTTTATTTACGCCATCTTCGTCACTTTCACCTTGTAATTAATAACTGAGATGACTCATCCACAATATGTTCATAGTCATTTTTGGGGAAATTGCTCTTTGATTTCCTTGGAGTAATTGATCTTTTAAAAACAAAAGACGTAAACTACTTCCATTCTATAATGGTATAATCATTTATTTGGGGATCTCCAGATTTTCGGTTTAGGAATGGACGCCAAGCTAGTCCTAAATTTATCCCGTAATGTTACCCTTAAACAACTCAGTCTCTCTCTCTCTCTCTCTCTCTCTCTCTCTCTCTCTCTCTCTCTCTCTCTTCTCTCTATATATATATATATATATATATATATATATATATATATATATATATCCCCAAATTACCGCAAGCACCTTCTGGCAATCAACATGCTATCGATGAAAAACAGGTTGGTATTATTCAATTGACTTGTGAAAACAAAGTCCCCCTGATCAACGATGGTAATACAATGATAAGGATATTATCGCTGAAATGCTCCATTGGAATTATAAGGATGCAATAAATTAAACTTGAATGTAGCAGTATACTTATAATTGTTTTCTGTAGGTAATCGATTTCGGCCCTAGGCCATCGTCAGACCTAGCTGAAATTACATTTGTGAAGTGGTGGATAATATAAAGTTAGCGGCTTACCGTCATAAAATACATGTAATATTGAAATATACTCGGAAACATAGGTAAAATGGTTAAAACTTGAATTAAAATAGTCGTAAAATGGAGCTGAAAAGAAAGTAAGGTGAAAGGTGAAGTTTAATGAAAATAAGTTAACACGTCAATGTGACGCGAAAGTCGTATAATAAAGTGGAATCAAACATAAAGATTATACAGGGAGTCTATAAAAGAACTCCGGGGTTTAAAAAATTAATATTTTTTAAACTATAAAAGATAGCAAAATTTGATCAATTCCTTTGAAACAAGCAGCTCAAAGAGTTTTACTCATACGAATTGGGAATGTTTCTCTCAACAGTTGGCAGCGCTGCGGAGCGTTGACCGTGAAATGACGTAACGGCTGCGGCAGGCAGTCAGTGTCGTCTGGACTAACTAACTAACGGAGCTCACATTGAACTTTACTAAGTTGTTAAAAAATCTTGAAAATGTAAGCTTTCTAATCATGTATAAAACATGTATGTACATTTTTTACTGTATTAAAATATTTTGTCTTAAAACCCCGGAGTTCTTTTATAGATACCCTGTATATACAATGTCAAATCCGAGTAAAAGAAGTGGTTGTCCATGTTAGGCACCAACGTGGTTTACATACGAGTTAATATAACTCGTAATTATATCCGGGATGTATAGCCCGGTTGCCATGATTAGGTCGCAGTCCGCGAAAACTGGACCGTTCTGGTCATAGAACTCTTCATGGACGAACCTTAAAAAGCCGTCTGACGGCTGTGGTGCATTGAGCACGGCTCGAGTTGAGCCAAGGTCGTTTTCTTCGTTCTTAGCGACGAAGTGAAGAGGAAGCCCTTGATCTTCAGACTGTCGTGGGAAATCGACCATCTGGAAGCGCTCGGTGCACATCTCCACATACCATTTAAAGTTAGTGAGGACATTAGCGTCGAGTGCATACCAATTAGGAACATTGGCAGCGGGGGCTGGGGTGTAGGAGATAAAGTATTGTATCCCATTGAGTGGACAGAAATATGGTCCTAGGGCATACAGTAACTCGCCAATAGGTTGCGGAACCTTCATCATGCGCGTAATCGCGAGGATGTTAGCAGGGCGTATTCCATTTTGGACTTCGGATAGATCCTGAAGTCTTTTCAGGAGTAGAGTTCTGCACATGCGTATGAACTCAGCCTGCGTAATAGGGGCTTGGAGGATTCCTCCAAGGGTGATCTCCATCACCTGGTAGGTACGCTCGAAAATACGCGAAAGAAGTCCTGGGTTATCGTTTAACGTTACTCGTCTTCTTGTGGCGTTCATCCTGCCGAAGTGCAGTCGCATCTCTGGGTTTTCCAGGGGACGTGGCACGATGGCGCTTCGAGTTCCGAATCCTGTTGGAACGACGGGGGCATTCTCGTGATGAGGAGGGTCTTGGTTCTCCATTATCACTGATGGGACTGGTCTCTTTAGGGATGGGGGTTGGTGGCCTACTTGTGTGTTGGAAACACGGGGAAAGTCGTCCGGATCGGGCGAGGGAGGCTTGTACTTGGGATCTAGCCGTGAGTAGCTCACGAATCTCCTCAGTACGCTTCTTCTGTGTTACCCAATGATGGGCATCACGACAAAGAAAGCAGCGTTCTATGGGGTCAATTCTGAAGTAGTCCGAAGACTAACAAACAAGGAACAGCAATGATATAAAAGCGACGAGTACACGTACGGACAAATATATGACATGCATAAAACTGCTAAGCGTGTAGTTAAAATTGCGAAATTTGGTTTTCAGCCAAATTTTAACCAAAAAAACTTTATATTATCCACCACTTCACAAATGTAATTTCAGCTAGGTCTGACGATGGCCTAGGGCCGAAATCGATTACCTAAAGAAAACATAACAATTATAAGTATACTGCTACATTCAAGTTTAATTTATTGCATCCTTATAATTCCAATGCAGCATTTCATCGATAATGTCAACAACATGGAACTATCCAGGAAGCTCCTACAGCTGAAATACATGCTAACCAAGAGACACAAAAACAATCAACACCTAAATTTTCTATACACAGCTAAACGTCACAACGTCACCCCAAAATTCCTACAAATAAAATTACCCAAAATATTCCATAACCCTCAAGAAAAACAGAAAATATATACAACCCTCCTCAAGAAAGAAATAAAAAATCAACACATCAACAGAGATTCAGAGAACAGGGTGTAGTCGATGAAGCCGGAGACGGTACTAAACTCAAGGGAGGTAGACACACACACACACATAAAATAGCCGGAAAAATCCGTTACAATCTTAAGGAAGACTAAGGTTAGTGAACCAAAACAATTAAACCACAATACAATTCACATCACAAAAACCATAAAATCCCTACAACAAAAAATCCGAACTAACCACCTAACAATAACATCAGCAGATAAAAACGCAGGTCTAGTCATACTAAATAACACAGACTATATCTCAAAAACCGAAAAATTCTTCCAAGAAAATAATATCATACAAATAAAAAATAACCCTATTAACAAATATACCGAAACCACCAAAAATATTCTCAACAACACACAACACACCCAACATTAGTGGCAGAAGTCGGCACAATATTTGTATA